TCACCTGCACCTATGCCCTGTGAGATAGCGTCAGTCATAGGCATGACCCCCGAAGTCATAACATTAGCTTTGGAATGCAACTGAAATAAGCTGGGATAAATGAAGACTACTTCATGAGTATACTAAATATGAACACGAAACAGTAAAGAATGGCAAAAACAAAAAATGTCCAAGTACAAGCATTGCCAAACGAGAAGTGATAGTTTGGTAGAGGCGCATAGAGGAAGTCACATGCATCAGGCAAGTGTACTATGCTCCTACTGGGGGAGAGGTGACACATGATGATTTACATGAGACACATTGGAATCACTTGATTCCAATAAATGGGAGCAGAAGGCTTGCACATAGGGGGCAGCAGGGAAAGAGAATAGCTAATCTTGTGAAGGGAGGGAAGAACCTTATAAGAAATGCTTCTTTTCACCTTACAGCTTTTATATCCCTTTTGCATAATCTCTAAAGTATCCCAAATGAATATTAAGTTATTTTTGGTAAAACTTGTACTTTATCTCTCTTCTCTATACTAGCACAACTGTAGCAAAATCAATGTAAAGTGAAATGAAATTTGAAAAATATGAGAAAGTCAAAAATACAATTTTTTTTGAAGAATGATTGCAGGCAATTATTTATCCGTACAGCCTCAGCTTCTAACCTTTTCACACCTACTTTCATGGTTATGAATCCTCTTTCTATAAGTGAAAAGCAATAAATCACAGAGGGGAAAACTTAGGGTACACAAATGACCATATTACATCACTCACTCATATCATGAGCTTCCCTATCAAGTGATCATGAGAAATTAATTTTTTCTATTTAAATTTTATCTAACCTAATAAGTTTTCATTTTTTACATTTTATTAATTTTTGTTTATCAACTATGCAATTGTTTTAGTCCTTTTGAGATTTTTTATGGCTTAATAATACTGTTGTTTTTAAATTTCAAAGAATTAGAAACACAAACATGGCTAAGAAAATGATTGTACAGCCTTCAAGTAATATAAAATAAACTGTATTTGTTTTTTCTTAGTTGTATTGTGAAAACTACAAGTAAATCTACATTCAAACTCTTTATTTTAACAGTAACAAAATGTTCTAAGCACAAATGATGGCTACATAATATTGCTGGCAGCACAGACATACAAATACACACAAACACAAACTATATGGTAGTGTGTTTAAAAAAAAGCAGCTTTATCTTATGAAGTAGTGATGAAAAAAGTACTTACCAATTAAACGAACACAATACACAATTATTTCTGCAAAGTGCAGACTGATAAACTTGTATAACTATCAAATGGACTTTGTACGCTATATTTTTAACATTCTAATTTATTACTAAGATTTCTATGTGGTAAACATAAAATGAGTAAATCAGTTCACTGCCATTTATTAAGTTCTGAAATTCAATTAGTAAGCTACACAAGAAATTAGTTAGCGAGAAACAATCTCCATTTGAACATATCAAATATGTTGTTTATATGATTTGTTTGTTTGTTTGTAATTAAGTTCAAA